TCAAAAAAAAAAAAAAAAAAAAAAGAATTGGGTCATTCTTTAGTATGGCACTTATCAATAGTGTCCGTTTTTTACTGTTAATTTTAGTTAACATCACATTATAATAAAAATATACATAACAAATAATTTTTAATACTAATTTAACACTTAAAAATAAAGATTACCGAGAATTTATTTTTTCAAACACTACACTAAGAATCTCCTAATAAATATATGTTCATATTACTATGCATGTTATGAACGTACGAATGAAGTTCCACATTGGCTTGTCCTTTTGGACGATAGAGCACCAAGGACCTAACAGTACATGTATATGTATGAAACCTACGTGAGTGAGTATTTTGAATCTTCACTAAGAAAAATCAGCAGCACTTATTTTTTTGAGATTTCCAAAGGCTTGGCTAGGAAGTTGGATTTGACTAAAGGGATCAGGTTCCAGATAAAATGTAAATTGTGCACAAATTGATGGGCAGGAATATGCAAATGGTCGCCAAAAATTATGCTTAATTGACTGAAAATTACATGAAATGAAAATCATGCTTCTGGATCAAGATTCTACCGTGAAGAGTTCTTTCCTTTACACAAACTATCCAATATATTTGAGATCCCACCTTTGTGCCTCCAGTATTTGGCCTGCTTAGCCCTTTTTTTTTTGTTTTTTGTTTTTCTGTTTTTTTTTTTTTTGCCATCTTAAAAGAAATGAAACCCATTTTTTCATAAGCAAGGGAAAAAAAAGTAGAGGAATTTTGTTGGTATACCTACTGTACTGATAAAATTAAATTTTTTTATCAGTTAAATTTATATATTTTTTAATTTTTACATAATTTTATATAAATTTAATAAATAAAAAATTATGTGAACGTATCAAGAAGGAGCTATCTGAAAATCCTTTTAACTTCTTCACTTTTCCCCATCACCTAGCTTTTTCCTGCCTTCGGAGTTAATGTGGAGACAGTCTGAAAAGAATCACTATTTTTTTTCCCCCTCTCTTTCTGTAATTGGTACAAGCTATTGGGTCCAAAATCAGGCCTATGATAATATAGCAGCATGTAAAAGAGAAAATCATGCACACAAGTAGGGGACCTTCGGAGTTTCCTTTTACCTTGTCTAACCCATCAATATCTTGACAAGGCAGTCCATTTACATTTTTTTAATTTTTAAGTTTGTGTTTATTAATTGAGCGTAAAAATTTGCATTAAAAAGAATAGAGCAATTTATGTGCAAAAATAAGGTCACTTCAAATAAGAATAAGAATAAGACTCTTTGGTATTAAAGCTTTGGAATGTCAAATGACCGTCTAAGTGGCCAAGAGAATAAAAACCAAAAAGAGCTTTCCGGTGATTGAAAGATATCAGTAAAGACGGACATTGGATTTATTTTTTAAAAGAAATCATTTTTTGAAGAAAAAAAGAATCTGATCAAAGATGGGGAAAATGATGTCTAGAATTTTCCTTCAAGATTTGAGAAAAAGGAATATAAAAAGAAAGTTGTGCTGAGCGGAACCATCAAATGCCTTTGTTCCTCTGCACCAGTTAGTATATTAGTAATATGATCTGAATTGCTTCCCTTAGAAATAATATTTGCATTTAGATATCAATATACAATTGAGTACGGAAGATACTAGATATGATTGAAACTGGATTTTGCCAAGTGTCATTCCCTTTTAAAACAGATAAATAGATATCAATAAGTGCATTAAAATAATGGTCAAAAACAGTCGAACTCGAGTCAAAGAGAAGCATTTTGGATAGAGGTGACAATTTTTGTCACGTGTCATGATCGTTTTATTTTTAAATTTATAGTCAATCTAAACACGATCCGTGACACGAAATTTTTTAAAAACCGTAACATGAACACGACACGACCACTTTACGAGTTGACACGATACGACCTAAAAATGACCCGTGACACGAAATTGACCCGTGAATCCGAAATTGACACGAAAATTGTATACTTTTATTTAGTTTTTTACATATTAGAAATAACTTAAAATTCATAACACACTAAATTACAATAACATCCATTGAAATTAAGCAAATAATAGTACACGATTTTGAGTATAACTATCATAATATCACAAGTTCATAATAAAATTTAAAATATGAAATGAAAAATATATGTATTTTTTAGTTTTTTACGAGTTTCGTGTTGTGTTCGGATTAGGCGGGTCCAACCCGAAACTACTCCGTATTTTTCGTGCCAATTTCAGGTCGACCCAATTCTGATCCGAACATCTTTTTTCTCAACCCTAACCGGCAAAATTTGTGTCATTTTTTAGTCGCGTCGTGACTTATATTACCGGTCCTAATTTTAGATTCTGACAGGACACGATTATATTTATAAAAAATAATAATAATAATAATAATAATAATAATTCCAATATGATTTAAATAAATAGAGGGGTATTTTGGTAGTTCATACAATTTTCTTTTTAACTATTACGGTGAAATTATATGTAGAGTATGAATATTCTATTGACTGACGAAACATGCTCTTCGTACTTTATTATATCATTGTAAGTACTTCTAACATAAAAGGTAGCCTCTTTATTTATAAGCAAAGATGAGGGAAGTTAATTATGGTAGTTTCTTTGGTGGATTTGAGAAATTGAATTATCAAAAATTATGTTTTCAACGTTAAATTTGTATAAAGAATTATCTATTCGACACATTTTTTTAATTTGATGTGATATTGATTAAATTTAATAATAAAAAACTAACTATATCGATAGAAAATTCCTATTAGAAAAATTCATATAGAAAATAAAGAAAGCACCAATAATAATACATAATCCATCATCAAACACTAGAAAAGGATTTGCATTTCTAAGGCTTTGCGTATTTAACATAAGAGATTATCAGAGGGAAAAAAAGTTATAGGATTAATTTCATAAATGGTCCTTGAAGTTTATACGTAATCTCATTTTAGCTCCTAATTTTTCAAACGTCTCACAGATGGTTCCTGAGGTTTTATTTTGTTTCAGTTTCAGTCATTCCATCTATTAGGTGCTAAAATTTGATAGAATTTATGTAAATTAGAGTCTAAAATTAGAAACAACTAAAATTTTGAGTCTATCTGTGGAAGTTAACTTTTAGTTTCTTGTATTATTTTAGTCTTTAAACTTTATATATTTTCAATTTTAGTCCGTAATTTCTAAAGATTCTGTCAAATATTTAACATTAAGCTAATATAATGAGCGAAATAGAGACATAATAAAACTTCAGGAACTAACTGTGCAATGTTTATAAATTCAAATATTAAAGTGAGATTGAGACAAAACTTCAAGGACCATTTATAAGATTAACCCAAAGTTATATTGTCTTTTCTACACTTGAGCCTTCTAATGCAATTAGCAGCACACCAAATGACGAAGCGCCTGTAAAACTCAAACTCTATTTTCCTTAAATATTATCTATTATAAGCAAGGAAAGTAAACTGATTTCATTTCACCATCGACATTCCCTTTTTATGAATCAAGCTTCCCACTTCCAAGCCCCCTTTACACACCAGAAGGTAAAGGCCCTACCGAAACAACTAAGCAACTCATAACCATGGAAATTACACCATACCACTAATAAAGCTTTGAAGAGGGTGCAAAAAAAGGTCACAAACTTCCATACTCTATGTTTTTATGCACTTGAATAGTAGTTAGAACCAAAGAATTAAAAAAAAAAAAAAAAAAAGTCGGTCTAGTTTTGCCAAATTTTTTTTTTTTTTTTTGGGAAATGCTTAAAAAGAAAGGTCAATTTAAATTTGACCCCTAAAAAATATGGGTTTTCTCATCCTGCCATCTACAACTCAAAATGAATAAAATTTCCCCTTTTAAGTCTTTCATAAGTTATAATTTTGACATTTTCATCATGAAAGATTTATGTATGAAACCAAACACAATAATGTATTATTCTTAAGAATCATATTACCTTTCATCACTTTCCTGAAAATATGATTTCTTATGATTATCCCATACCAAACGCCCTCTATTAGTAAAAAATGTAATTTATGATAAGCTTAACGAGTTTGGCCATTTCGAGTTATAAGTCTTTCATAAGTTATAATTTTGACATTTTCATCATTGAGGCATCAAGTTTTTTAACAGTTTGACTCACGTATAAATCATGTATCACATATGAATTACCTTATTATTAAAAAATGTAATTTATGATAAGCTTAACGAGTTTGGCCATTTCGAGTTATATAGGGTAGAATGAAACAACTACTCGTAATTTTAAAAAAGTAATCCTAAAAAATACACTAACTGCTGCTTTTATAAGTTGAAAAGAGTTGGCTTCTTTTTTCTTTTTTTTTTTTTTTTGCTTGGATTGAAAATTTGTAACTTACAACCACCAATCTCTACTGAAACCTAAAAACCCTAGAACGTGTCATTAATCAACACGTAATAAGCCAAAATACGAAAGATTACTCTACACATGAGAGAGAGAGAGAGAGAGAGAGAGTCAAAGGTCCCACAAAACAACTAAGCATTACAAGGCTAGTTACTTTTTTAAACCAACCTCAAAAGAGTAAAAAGTACTAAATAAAGCTACGCACAAATACCAACTAAAAAAGAAACCCCCTCAAGTCACTCCACTTCCCCGTTCCTAGAACCCCCCCCCATCTTGTTATTTTTCTTCTCCTAATTCAAACTATTACAATATTTCTCGCGTATCTACATTCATTACAAAATTACCCCCAGCATCAACTTATACAAGAAGAATAACCCTCTCCATCAATATGGCTAATGTGGTCATTTCACATGACTGAGCATCCATTTGGATTTTCATCACTGAACAGCTCGAACGAATCCGACTGCTGTGATGGCGAGTAAGACTCGTGATCATACGGCTGAGGTTCCGTCTCGATGACCGCGCCTTGATGCACGTACCTCCTATAGGAATACGAGTAATTAGGTGGTGGCGAGGCGTAATAGGACGCGCTGTAGCTTCCGCTAGGGTGCGCCGTACTGTAGCTCACCCCATAAACCGGAGGGCCATTATGGTGGTGGGAGTAGTAAGGCTGGGGGTTTTGATGCTCGTGATGACATGGCGCGCCGTGATTGGCCTGAGCCGGAATTTGCGATCCGCTGCCCACTGGCGCATCGTAAGCACCACTGTGCTCGCCCTCATTCACGCTAACGTTATTACTCTTTTGCCCCTTCTTTTTCTTCTTTTTCCCACCACCGCTAGCACTAGTCTCGGCCACCCCCGGGGAATCACTTTTCTCCACCGCCGGTGACTGGCTACCTGGGTGGACGGTCACCGTCTGCTTAACTTCAGCCTTTGGCTCCTTCACCTGTCCACCCGAACCGTGCTGCTTTCCCGGTTGCCCACCTTCATGAGAAGTACTACCTCCGTTATTGTTATTATTATCGCCGTTTTCGTGAGTTTTAGACGGGTCTTGAACTTGCAAAACTTCAACTTTTACGGTCTCTTTTTCCTTATTATTCTCAACACAATGACCATGATTGTTGTTGTCGTTTTCTTGATCGTGAGGGCTTTCAGAAGTGTCGTTTTTTTTCTCTTTCTTCTTACCCGATTTTCCTTGCTTTTTATGATTATGGTGTTGGTCCGGCCAAAGCTCTGCGTGTTTCCCGGCCTTCACCAACTTATTAATCAAAGTTTCAGCGTCCACATTTCCTGTTACGGCCACTCTTTGTTGCCGCAAATCAATATTCGTTGTGTAAACCCCTGAAAAGTCGGAGACCGAGATAAGGAAAAAAACTGGAAAGTTTCAAGCTTTGGCTAGATTATTACCCGTAAAAGCTAAGAACTTGAGCCAGAATATCAGTGAAAACAGAGAAGTGACTTAGAAAAAGAAGAATACCCAAATGGAAAATAGTCAAGAAAAAGCGCCATTGTGAGTGAAAACTAATTAAAAAGCTCAAATATTAGAGGATTAGTATGAAGTTTTATGAGAATTATTATAACAACTCACCATCAATGTTCTGCAAGATTTTCTTGACTTTTCTTTTGCAGCCTTCGCAGTGGATGGAGACTTTCAAAACCCATGTCTGAGAAAAAGAGAGAGAGAGAGAGAGAGAGAGAGAGAGAGAGAGAGAGATTGAAGGAGAGGTAGAAATGAAAGGCTGTGAATAGAATTTACTTCCAGAAACGTTTTTTTTTTTTTTTTTTTTTTTTTTGAACTTTA